CCACTGAGCTGGAGCGAGGGATATTTCCTGTCCTCGCGGACAGAAGAACAAGGCGAGAGAGGGAAAGCGCGGGACCCTTGTGAGAATTGCAGCCAATCGCTGAGTGGATGCGCAGGTGGGTGTGTTCAGAATGCGGAATCCTCACCAATCGCAGCGTAGTTAGTGGCCGCGGTCCCACGTGGGGTCTGAGCTCCGCGAGACAACCAGCGGGCTCTGAGCCAATCACAGCCGAGCAAGGTGTTAATGTGGACACGGATTGGCTTGCTGCTCCTAACAGAGTTCCCCTCACTCATCACGTTTAGCCTGTTTGCAGTTTAACCCTTTTCTTCCACACAGGAAGGAAAAGCTCCGCTTTGCCCATAAAACACAAACCGGCGCTGTTATGTTACAGCGAAACGTGAATTAATGAGAGAATCAGAGGCGGTTTGTTTTTAGAAACGCGATACATCAGTTAATCCCGAGCGTTTAACTGCGTCTCTTCAGACAAAGTTGGAGGAAAGCGATGATTATGTTCTTTTACAGAGCTGGAGCGCATGGAGCCGTTCTCCATGAGTGTTTATGTGCATTTCCTCGTACTGTTACTAGGATTTTTTAAGTAACCCAAATAACGAGTAATAATGAGTCAGAATCTTCACCATGTATATAATGTACATCTATCCTGCTCTTTGAAAAGTCCTGTCTTTGAAAGAGCCCCAAGATCCACAACACAACGTCAGCGTTTTCAAACCAGTACGGTCACTTTCAAACAGCTCTTATTGGCTCTTAATGTCCCACAGATTGACTTGAATGTATTTTTTTTATCACATATTTCCTCTTAATTTGATCTTCAGCTACAAAAAAAACTAGTTTTCCATGTATTTGTACCTAGTATACTGTTGTAAAGGCCCTGGAACTATGCAGTGGACACAGGGCTTGTACTGTTGTAAAGGCCCTGGAACTATGCAGTAGACACAGGGCTTGTACTTTAAAACGTATAGCAAATAAATATTCCTTTAACTGGGAGCCAAGGGCAAATTTGGACCATATGTGTAGAATGTCCTTTATTATACTAGGCTGAAGCCAGGGGGCAGTGGTCAACAGTTGCCCTTTACCTTACCTAGGATAAGGCCTTAAAGACAAACCAATTTGACTCCTCCTTTTTAACCCAATCTGCCCCATCATAGAGCATCAAGTGAACACAAGGCCTGGCTTCCTGTCTAATGAAAAGCACTTTCAGATCCAACCGCTCAGTTAGCAGTGGGGTGAAAAGGCCATGTTGACAGTTTTACAGAAAACGGACAACAACAAACTACAAACACACATAATTCTTCCTAAGTCTTTCCTCATGGCTGTCACCATCCCAGTATTGATAATGACAATAATAATAATATTATTATGAATGCTCTCTGGGGGCGCCCCACTTCCATCCCTGGACTCCTCATGTGGTGGCCCCACGTGTGTGCGTGTGTGTGTGCATGTGTTTCCCCCTCCCAACACCCCGCACCCCCTGAAGCGCCGCCGGCAGCCCTGCCTCTGCTTCACACACACACACACACACACACACACACACTCCTCCCCCTTTTTTTAATTGCATTGATGGTTCATCGTTGGTATCGCTTCACGTGTTGACGTATTTTCAGTTCCTGCAAAGTTATTTCTCTCTACCTAAAAGCAAAAGAACAGACATTAAAAGCATCCATTTTTAAATAGCACCAAAAGTCTTTCCCTCCTACGCTATGCAGTCACACAGGCACCAACAGTGACACGCCAAGCATCAATCTTCTCTCTCTCTCTCTCTCTCACACACACACACACACACACACACACACACACTCTCTCTCTCTCTCTTTCAAAACTTCACACACACACACTCTCTCTCTCTTTCAAAACTCCCCAAAATATCCCCCGAGGACCGTGTTTAGTAAGAGAGGCAGAGTAAAAAAAAGGCTAATGTCGCCCCTTAGTGGCTTTCTTTCATATTGCAGATTGACAAAGCGTCCGGAAATCTCACGCACTGCGTCCTAATAACATTCAGAAAGTATTCAAAACCAAAGGTTTGCTAAATTAAAGACATTTTGAATGTTTTGATTAACCTGCAGTTAACGACATTTTCTGCATATATTGATTTCTTCCTGTTTCCAATAATAGGTAACACAGTCTCTATAATAAGCAGCCTACACGGTAGAATTCATGAATTTCTGACCAAAATTCCAACACAAAAAAATCGTACATTCAAGTGGAAGAAGAAAAAAAAGGGGCTACTTTTTTCTTCTCTTCTTGAAAAATCATTTCAGTCAAAGCCAATTCCCTGAGAGAATGAAAGACATCATGGTGAACAGAAAGTCTCTTTCAACAGGAAACAAAACCGTTTTCATCTTGGAATGATTTTTGTTGATTTTTTCCTCCTAACATCGTCATGAAAACGACTTTAATGACTGAAGACAAAAGACAGAAAAGGAAAAATGGGAGAAAGTTTAAAAATGGGAAAGTGATGACAGAAGCAAGTGAGGAAGAGCAAAAGTGTGTATTTGTGTGCGGTAGGAAAGGATGGGGGGCACTGTGGGGTAGGAGGCAGCACCCTGCAGTCCCAAGTAATGGCAGAATAGAAGTTAATAGGGTAGAAAAAGGGCTGGAGGCTGTTAACTCACAAACGGTCATTTTGAATTCCCCTGTTCTCTCACTCTGTCACCTCCTTTCTTTTCTCCATTCTTTGTCCCTTCTTCTCCTTGGCACGTTTCCTATCTGCTCCTGGCTTCTCCCTCTCCCTGCATACTTAACCTGCTGTCTCCCACCACTCACCTTTTCACCTGCTCCTTTGCCTCGTCTCCCATCTTGCAGCCTCTCCTCCTCCCATCCTTTCATCCTTCCATTTATTCCTGCCTCAATTCTCACTCCTTTCTTTCCACCCCCCCTTTCCCCTCCCTCCTTCCTTCGTCTGTGTCTCCTTGGAGGAGGTGTAATGATAGCTATTTGAGTGTCATCAGAGGACCGCTGTAATGGCTTCTAAAGCACCATCCCACAGTTGCCACGGTGAACCTGGCACAGCCGCGGTCCCAGAATAAGGAGACGAGGGAAGAAGGGCTGGAAAAAAAGAATGGAGAAGAAGGGAGGGCGCGAGAGAGAGAGAGAGAGAGAGAGAATGAGACGGTGGGAGGGGGTGAGAAAACATCTGGTTGGCTATCGACAGGCGTCACTGTGCCGACGGCAGCAGGAGCGCTGGCACATCAGCAGACGATAATGTGGGGCCCCAGGGGGCCACAGAGAGCTAATGATGCGTGAGATAAGATACATGTGAGAAAGAAGTACAGTAAGAGTGATAACAGTGACGCTAATGAAAATAATGGCAATGATCACAATAACCCTATATGACTTTTTTGGTTTGTGTGTATGTGTGTGTGTGTGTGTGTGTGTGTGTGTGTGTTGAGAAATTGCAGAAAAAATGCAATGAAAAAAGATACAAATTTTCACATGTCCTTCTTCTTTGTGTTTTCCAAAAGATAAGGGCGTAGAATGAATATAATGTGCATCTTACTGCACACACACAGACACACACAGACACACACAGACACACACACGCCTGGTGCAGCCCCTCTTTGTTTATGCAGAAGTGATTTGGTCCACATCATTAGCCCTGTGTCAGCGGACACTGGGGGCTTTTCTAAATTGCTTTTGTCCAGGAAGCTTTTCATGATTAGATGTGAGACGTTAAACTTATTAAAGTCCTTCATTATCTCTGAGTGTCGTCGTTTGAATGGCAGGTGTCACTTCAGTGGACATTAGCATCCTGACGTTAGCATCTCTCTGATGTCAAGTCTGATGACGAACTCAGAGGAAACGTTGATTGTGGCTAACTTTTAGCATGTTGTTTTAATCATGATTTTAGCTTTGTAGCTAACTAACTAGCTCTTTTTGCCTTTTTTATTTAGTCAGTTTACTAACACCTTGATCTTTACAGAAGGTTTTGTAAAAATATCTATATTTATATCTATATATTGTTAACTATCTTTATATCTTTTGATATTTTTGCTTCTTTATTTGAAATCTTCCCTAAGATATAACATAAGACTTAAGAATGTTTAATTTAATTTAGTCTTAAATCAAAAATCTGAACCGACATATTCCTCATTTCATCAGGATAAAAAATTATCAAGTCAAGCCTTCATCTGATAAAGCGACTGGGGGAACAATGACATCACTCATGTCCTTCAGTGTCCATGTTTTCGTGTGTGTGTGTGAATGTGTGAACACACATGGTTTATCACAATCTATGTAAAATGCTGCAGTTCAAGTCTGGGTCAGGGGGAGTAAATCTTCAGATGGGTGGTGTTTACGATGAACCCTGGGACCCTCCTCTGACCCAAGTGTGTGCGTGAGTGTGTTTCACACACACGTGCATGTGCGTGTGCAGTGAAATATATGTTGCTTTGGGTCAGTGAGTCTGTGAGGACATTTATGGTCATTGACAAGGAAGGGGGGACGTGTTTGTGTGTGTGTGTGTGTGTGCCAGTTGATTAGCCAGGTTGGGATGATTGGTTTGAGGATTAGATGGAGTCAGGAACAGATACGTCTGTTTACTCTGCAAAGAAGACTCATAATAGGCTGATTGGCAGGGTTTATTACCCCACCCCACCCCAACCTTCACACACCACACTCGTCCACCGATCCTCTTACTGACCACACACATTCTTTCAATCCCCCCTCATATGCTGATGAGCTCGTTACTGTTTCTTCCGCAGCACCTGCCGTTCCAGTCTCCAAACCTCCAGTCCTGACCCAGAGAGCTTGCAATCAGAGAAGATGTGAAACCAAATCCCCCAACATGGGCCACGTAAGGCGAGCTCCACTCCAAAGGCAGAGTAGGAGGGAGGAGGAGAGGGTGGGGGCGGGGGTAAGGGGCAGTGCTCTGGTTACCCTCGGCTGTTTGCATTGTTTCTTCTTACCTGCCTTTTATGTGTCAGAGAAAGAAGTGAAGAGCTGGGGATAAAAGAGCAGAGACGGAGAAAGGCCGGATTATTAAGAACAGAGGGTAGAGAGAGGCTCAGACAGAGAGAGGAAAGAGAGAGAGAGAGAGAGAGAGAGAGAGAGGAGAAGAAGGAGAGGATGGGTGAGTCTTAGGGTGACAGAGGGCTGACTCGAGATATACTTTAAATGCTTAAAGGAAAGGGTTCCTGTGCTCACTGCACCATAACAGTTCCATCGGCCTGTGAGGATGTTCTTCTTCACCGATCAAGCTATCGTCTGACGGTTTTGGACTTTAATGAAGGCAGACAGAAGGTCTGAATGAGCCTGAGAAGAAGAACTCCCCAACCTAACGTTAGGTCACTGAGAAATAAAGGCCAGACGAGCGAAGGCAGCAAGGACCGACAAACGAGGCCCAGCTTCAACAGACGAATCCAGGAAGTTCAAGAGAGGAGGAGGTGAAGATCTGGGAGAGCAGGTCAGCAGAACATAAGAGTCTGCAGGAGAGAGAAAAAGACCAAAGGAAGGAGAGAGGAAGAATTACAAGAGGGCGCACGTTGAAAGAAGCCTCTTAAGTCTGGCAGCTGGAATTAGAGCCACAGAAACTGCAGAGGGGAAACCACAAAACCACAGTAAGTAAATTAGGCGGCTGTGGCTGGAAACATGTATAATAAAGCTGTGGGCCGGGGAGGAATCTGTGGTCAGGGGAGTGCTTTAAACACTGTACCTTAATGAATTGATTTCCTGTCTTTAAAACTGTTAGGTTGCATCATTCTCCATGACATCACTCCTGTTCCACACCTTTCTGAGGGAACCTCATTTAACCCTTGGTAATCCTGCGCCGTTTTCTTTCCTGGATTAAATCTTGGATCCCACATATTTCTCCTGACGCCTAGATCAAGATGCCAGCCAATGGGAACCGCCCCCTGAAGCTGCAGTTTGGTCTCATCAACCACGAGGGTCGCTACCTCACCGCTGAAAACTTTGGCTTCAAGGTAATAACACAGTGTTCAACAAAACGTTACTATCTACTACTTACACTACAGTACTACAGTACTAGCAGTACTTTAAATTTAACTCTGTTCAAGTACCATAACCGTGTCCCTGTGTCTTTATCCTGGGTCATTGAATCTCTCTCAGGTGAATGCGTCAGCTCCCAGCCTGAAGAAGAAGCAGATATGGACTCTGGAGCAGGACTCTCAGGACTCTCAGGTAGTCTACCTCCGCAGCCACCTGGGCCGCTACCTGGCTTCTGACAAGGACGGCAAGGTCACCTGCGAGGCGGATGGCCACAATTCAGACTGTGGCTTCCTGATCGTGGCCCAGTCCGACGGCCGCTGGGCATTGCAGTCCGAGCAGCACCTCCGTTTCTTCGGCGGCTCCCGGGACTTCCTGTCCTGCTTCGCCCAGTTCATCACAGATGCCGAGCTGTGGGCCGTGCACCTGGCCCTGCACCCGCAGGCAAACTTGCTGTCAGTGGCCCGCAAACGGTACGCCCACCTGTCTGCAGAGGACGGGGAGATCGCCGTGGACATGAACATTCCCTGGGGAGTGGATTCCCTCCTCACTCTGGTCTACCTGGATGGGAAGTACTGCCTGAAGACCTGTGATGGCCGCTTCCTTAGCAACGATGGGAAACTAGTGACGCAGAGCGGGAGGACCACTGCGTACACGCTGGAACTGAAGTGTGGGAAGTTGGCCTTCAAAGACTGTGAGGGCAAGTACTTGTCCCCCATGGGTCCCACTGGAACGCTGAGATCCGGACGCTGCTCCAAGCCTGGCAAAGATGAACTGTTTGACCTGGAGGAGAGCCACCCACAGGTGGTTCTGATGGCGGCCAACAGAAGATATGTCTCCATAAGGCAAGGTGAGTTCATCACAGACTTTAAATGGGAAGTGGAGATTTTATTGGCTCAAGTAAACCAAGTAAATCAAGTTTACTTGAAACAAACAGCTGTTAGTTTTGAGTAAGGTCAAGGGTTCGATTCCAGACGGAGCTCCTTTTTTTGTTACCACAATAAAAAAGGCTGTTGTGACTAAGCGCTGGTTGTTTACCAATCAGAGGTCAGTGGTCCAGTCACAGACTGTGTTAGTTTAGGTGTGATCAGGATCTGGTGTGGATTTTATTACGATATCTGGCGAAATTCTACATCAGAGGGTGAGGTTTTTCCTGGAGTGCCACTGAGAACAGTCACCTGAGCCTGTATCTCTCGCACACTGACCCACATGCATGCATAATAAAGTACAGACCCAGCAAATTCTACTGCTACAATTACTACAACTACACTACGACATAGTACAGCTGTACGACCCCTCCCACCCCCAGAAAACTGAGCTGACCATGGACAGGAAGTACAGTCACTCCTGCCTCTCCTGAATATGTACGGGTCAAGACGCCAGGCCAAGAGGCTCTCCAGTGATTGACAGCCGATAATGGGTGCATGGTCATCATGGGTAAACCTGGGTATTCTTCTGCAGCAGCGTGGGCTGGTTGGTTGCATGTCTGTGGTGAAAACAGGACAGATGAGTCTGACACAGGAGACTATCAGCATCATCTGGGAGACCTGAGACGAATTTGCAGCAGGGCTGCATGTGATTTGGGTTTGACTGCCGTCGCTGCTTCGTCTTCAGACTGGGTTTTATGACAGATTAGATCTGTGCGCTCTAAAACCATGACAGGAGTTTTTCATTTGTACTATTAGGGTTCAAACGCAGCTGTTTTCCCTCAAATATAAACAGTTGTTATGTTTTGACTAACACAACGTTTCTTTATGACTTGACAGCCAACCACTCAGTCTTTTAATACCTTAGCTAATGGTTATCTATCTTTTGCTGTTTTTTGGCTAGCATTTAGCTACTTTTTTCTGTGTTTTTGAGCTATAACTTCTACAATTATTTTGACTAACTGTAGCTTTTTTAGATATATATCAAAAATAAATATAGATAACTAAAAAAGCTAAAACAAATAGCTAAAATACATACTGGATAGTTTATTACTAATATTTATAGTGCGCTATATATATATATATATATACTATAATGTACTATAATGTACTATAATGTACTATAATGTACTATAATGTACTATAATGTACTATATTGGGTATCTGTTGTCATTAATTCAACCTTCAACCCTGAATCTTTTTAGTGGTTATTTTTAAAGTTCTGGGTTTTTTTTTCTTATATATAACCTGTATTTATTTTTTAATTAAAAAGTCAGCTTTTGATTTTAAATTTTACAAAGGAACGTACCTTAATCTCTTTACAAGTTCTCACTAGCACTTTTGATTGGTTCCGGTGGACAGGGTTTTGCTTCTGGGTCTGATTTGAAACCGGATTTGGTTCTGGAAAACCTAGCAGCAGTGCTTGTCAGAACACTTGGATGTGGCACTAATACACCAGGCTGCAGATTTCTGTCTGCAGGGTCAGGTTTCTGCAGCCTGGGCCCCGGGGCCTCAGGACACTGTAACTGTATCTCCATCAGTTCATTGATCCTGGTTAGCTGTAGAAGCTTCAGGAAACCGAGTGAGTGGCGGCTCTGAAAAATGATTAGTTGAGGAGAAAGTCCAGTGACATGACATGATGGAGTGTAAACTGTCTGAGGGAACATTCACAGTGAACACCAGTCACGGGATGGTTTACCTTCACACACACACACACATATATATAGTTTCCAAATGTAGGCAATGTTAATGCTGGCATACACACACACACACACACACACACACACACACACACATATAAATATATTTGTATATGTATTTAGTTTCACATCATTTAAACAAATTATCTATATAAATCACATTTAAGGAGATTCACATGTATTAAAATCTAAAAATAGAAATACAATTTTCATAAGATTTTAAAATTCAGATCTTGAAATTTCCAGAAAAATAATTTCCATTCTTCCTGTATCAGAAAAACATGAGAATATTTACACATACATACAGAAACAAGCACCTTTGTCCTCCATCAACATAATGTTGTATCTTTCTCTGACACACACACACACACACACACACACTGGTACCGTCATTGGTCCCACTGCAGCCAGTGCTGAAGTGAGGTGTTCTGAATTATTGATGCAGTTGGCCCCTGTTCCTGGAAGGCAAAGAGGGGAGTCTACTTTCAGAAACCCAAGCTGCCTCTTACCTGGGGCATAGATTCTAACCCACTAACCCCAACTCCTCTGTCTGTGTCTGCATACGGTACATGAGCAGGAAAACACACACCCATACACACACTCAAAGTGAGTCAATCTTCAGACTTTGAGAAACACTGACACTGCAGAGCAGAGCTGGTACACAGACATCACCTGCAGGTGGTCTCAACTGTTGGTTCCAGGTCCTAGTCTGTACAATGTTAGGTATGTTTGTAAATAACTAAAGCGTCTATGGAGAAGGATGGAGACAAGAGAAGGTGGAGATAAAGGGGGAGAGTGAATGGGAATGGTGACCTAACAATCTCCCCCTCCCCCTGGACCTTTAAAGAATCAGAAAAAGAAGATGAAATAATGGAGAAATTAATTATTAATCAATTTAGCCTTAAATCGAGAGTTGACCTTCAAGGTCACCAGAAAGACATTGTAATTTTGAACATAACAACATCAGTGCTACGTTTTTGACATGGTTTGAAACTTTTAGCAGGTTTTTTAGAACTTCTGTGGACGTTTTCAGCATTAGGTTATAAATTAAGGATTATGGATTGTAACTGAGGTTAGAGTAAGCTGTCTTTAAGATTCCTTACAGGTACAGAAAAAAAAGTCATACCTAAAGGTTAATGTGTACTGACGCATGTGAAATGAAACACACACACACCTTCTCTCCCTGCCTCTCTCTCGCTCCCTCTCTCTTTCTCTTTCTCACACACACACACACACACACATCTCAGTAACAAACTAGTGAAAGAAAATGCAGGAGTGGTTTCAACAACATTAACAGAAAGTGCAGTATCAGCTTGCTGTTAATAATAGATGCCAGAGCCATCTTCTGCTGATGGATTAGTTAGGCCTGGTCCACTTCCAGGCTGCAGGTGGGGCAGCAGCGGAGGAAAGTGGAGCTGGATTCAGGGGTCTGACCTAACATGTGGCAGTAGCAGTGTTGGAGGGGCCACGGCTCCTGTTTAATAGTTCATCAGCCATCATGGTGGTGACGACAGCCTCTGATTTGTTATGCTTGAACAACCCGTGTGTCAAAGATGGTCATCAACACGGCCATTATTATCCTCTGATTGCCGGCATGGATTTCACTGTATCTAATCTCCTCCTGCCCCTGGTTCTTCTTTTTCTGTCTCCTCCTCCTCCTCCCTCGACCTGCTCCCTCTTCCTCCGTCTCCTCTCATCTATCAGATAACGTCGCCGAGGTCCCAGCTGAGCCTGTCTGAGGATCATTTCTAGGTTGAATTAGTGTGAAATGGACACACGGAGTAGGTAGACAAAGCATGACATTGAGTTGGAGATGAGAGGAGAAGAAGAAGGAGAAGGAGAAGAAGAAGAGGGATGGGCCCCGGGGCATTGGTGCAGAGTAGAGGGGCCTGAAATTTATGCTTCAAATGCACTTAAGATCAATGATGATTTAACCAGTTGTAAGACCTGCTGATAGCGTTTTTATTGGGTGTGAATTAGAGCAGCACCGCAGATCAGTAAGCATGACATCTTTGTTACTCCTCATCCCGACTCCCTCCTCCTCTATCTGCACCTCCATATCAAATTAAAGCAAAAGCTGAAAACAGAGATGTGATCTGAGTTATATCAGCAGCCAGGCCTGAGTATCTGTGAGATAAACACAGATACAAGGCTCTGGTAGAAGCTCCACAAGAGCTGGATTATGCAGATGTCATTTCCATGCCGACATCCATCAGTGGCTTTAAATAAAGCAGATGAGCGTAACACAGGTTTATCACCGGGGGCAGCAGCATCATCATAAAACCCACAGCGGTGACCCTACACGTCCTTGTCGCGACAACATCTGTGTTAATGCCCACAGCAACAAAATCACTGTGGTTATTGGGTTCAGTCCACAGCAGGAAATTAGTGTTTATAATCACTGTGTTTTACGACTTTTCTGATTGTGTAACATGCAACTAGATATTTTATTAATATTAAGAATATTACACTGTTTGACTTACAGTGTCATGATCTTAAGTGTCAATGTATTTTTTTATTTTGTATTTTTTAACATTTTCTCACAACTGTGAATTTCTTCAAAACTCCACAGAACTTTATTTTAAACCGGCTACAAAACTGCTAATGCCGACTCATGCCGAGTATTCATGATGGGGACCGTGTCTCTTTGACCCTGCAGGAGTCAGCCTCTCAGCCAATCAGGAGGACGAGACGGACATGGAGACGTTTCAGATGGAAATCGACAAGGAAACCAGGAAGTGCACGTTCCGCACCAGCCAAGGAAACTACTGGGCACTGGTAGCCCACGGAGGCATCCAGAGCACGGCCATTGAAGTGTGAGTGACGGCGGCTGTGTCGAATGAAATATTAATTAAAAAAATGTTAACGTTAAACGAAAACAATGGTCTAATGTGGATAAATGTTCAAACGCTGGTAGTTTACGCACTAATGAACATCCGCATTGATCACTTTATGTGAGTGGTGTCAACTAATGAATTACTTTAATTTGTAAACATGCGACAAATGCCTTTTTTTTAACATGTCAAACACATTTTCCCTCGCGTGATTCCCATCGGCAGATCAGCAAACACTTTGTTTGCAATGGAGTGGCTCGGCCAGAAGGTGGCACTAAAGGCCAACAATGGAAAATACATCTGCATTAAGAAGAATGGACAGTTATTGGCTGTCAGTGATTCTATAGGTCAGAGGGCATATTTTTAATTACCTTTATTGTCTGCTATAATTCGGTATTTGTTGTATGTTTTTTAAATATATAAAACATATGCACACATGCCTGTTTTTATCAGGAGAGGACGAACAGCTGAGCCTCAAGCTGATCAACAGGCCCATGCTGATCCTGAGAGGAGAGAACGGCTTCATCTGCCACCACAAAAACTCCAACACTCTGGATGCCAGCAGATCAGTCTATGACATTTTCACCCTGCAGTACAGTAACGGGGCCTATCACATCAAAGGTCAGCACACAGGGGTCAGAGGTCAGACAAGGTCCAGGATCACAAAAAGTCAAATATTGCTCCAATATTAGTTATAATAAAAACATTTACCAAATAACTGAGAGCCAACTGATTGGCCGATAACTAAAAGCTTGGAAAAACACCTGGAAACAGAAATTAAGTATTTAAAAATAAAGATAGACAAAAAGATGAGAAAAACATAAGGAGTAATTTGCCAGAGGAAATTCCCTGGCAAGGAGCAGTTTACAGTGTAAAAGATTGTTGTAGTGAAGTAAAGTTGGCCATAAAGTGCACAGTTAGCTAAATATATAAACAGATAAATAAATGTTCTAATTACTTAAATATAAGACAAGCTAAATAAATAGCTCTAATTTAATCTAAAACATTTTAACATTTAATGAAATTTGTCTTGAAAATGGTGTTTGTCTGTGTGTATTTGGTATATCTACATAGGTGTCACGGGTCAGTTCTGGTACGTGAACAGCGCTGGCCTGGTCTGCTCAGACGGTGAGGTTCCTGAAGAGTTCTCTCTGGAGCTGCATGTCCATAGCCGCCTTGCCATACGTGGAAAGAACGGCAAATACCTGCGTGGAGACCAAGGAGGAACGCTGAAGGGGGATGGAGTGAGTCTGAACAGCGCTGCCTTGTGGGAGTATTAAAACAATTTAAGGTTGAACCTGGTTTCAAAGCTGAGGCCCAGGTTCTAGTGATAGATCATGTCCTGGAGGTGTTGTCCACATTTTTAAAATTGAAAGTATTGAAAATGGGATAAAAGTGAAGAGAAGTGAACAGACTGTGGATGAGACGCCAAGAGACTCGTAGAGTTGTGATGTGTACACTTTAAAACCCAGCATGAGGGTGACCTGTCGTTATCCCCGTTTGTATTTTCCTAACTTCCCCCTCCACACATTAGTAGCAGCAGGTGTATCATCTATCCACCCCTCCACCCAGTGAGCAGAGTGACTCAAGTGCCATTTGAGACACACAGGAAGTGAGGTCATCTCCTTTGATTAGTATGGTATTGCTGTTGGTGAATACGGATGTCCCTGATCACCTGCAGTAACAATAACAGTAGAGTCCTTGTCATTACATTCATTTTTAATGAGCTCCTTTGTTAGCCTTTAGCCTTTCTGGAGGAAATCACATGGAGGTTTAAAAAAAAAAATAAAGGTGCATGCGTGGTTCTGTTCCTGATGATAAGTTTCTGTTTCTTTTTTTTTTACACTGCAGATGCAGAGTCTCCCACAGACAGTATTGTGGTTCAGTGGAGCCATTTGAATCCGTTGCACAACAGCACTCGTCTGTCGATTCACTCCATTAAAAATAATTAAAAACCAAATTAAGAAACATAAACATGAACAAAGATTGATAATATATAATAATAAAAATTAAGAAAACATTTTATATTATTGTTATAAAAATGGGTAAAATAACCCAGTGAGGGACAGTGAGCGAGACAACGCAGTATCGGGGCCACTAAGGTAGGAAAAGGACTGGGAGTGAGGACTTGATTTAGATGATAGGAAGGGAGAGAGAGATTTAAGCGACAGGTAAAATGACCAAGCGAGGGACAGTGAGTGAGACAGTGTGGAATGGAAAAATGGAGCTCGGTTGAGCACTTAGTTACTTACTCGTCACTTGGAAAACTCGTATTTCAAGGAGCTTGTATTTCGGGACTAACCGATGACTCAAACCCTTGAGACTAAAACATTCAACTATTTTTAAAAAGTCATCTTCTAGTAAGTCTAAATCATCACCACCTCTTGCTTTTTCTTCTGACCTTCAGACCAGAGCTCCAAACCCTGGAGACTTGACTTGACTCAGACGTGTCTCTAGTGACTTAAACTTTGACTTAAAACAGACACTGTCTATCCATCTGATGTGATATCCATTCAGACTGTGGATGTCAGACAATATGCTAATTGTTTCTTAACACGTTGTTTTAATTTAATCTAAAGAAACAGGAAATACTACAAGCTCCAGTGGCGTAATCAGTTAGCGTGCAGTACTCATAGGACAGTAACCTGCAGAGTGAGCTGGCGTTGTGAGTTTCAGCCTCACCTGGAGCAACAATAATTTTACTGAACAACTTGCCCTCGATAATGACTACTTTACCAAATGCCAATTAACAGATAATTATGTTCTCCACCAAATCACCACAAAAACTTTATCTGTATTGGGAAAAATATGTTTTATTTCTTTACAAGAACATGTTTTCAGACTAACTGATGCTCAAAATGCCAATTCCTGACCAGACTCGAAGGCTGAAACTGGCTGCAGGGGCAGCTGTGTGTGATTACAGTATGACGAGAGGATTTTCTCTCAGTTCTCTGTAGACAGAGAGAAGACATCTGGTCTGCTGTCCCAGGGAAATGTCCTCACCGAGAGCTCTAGAGAGTCGGCTCTGCTGGACTTGCTGCAACAGGCGCTGAAAGAAATTGGACCATATGTGAGTCGAGGTTTTTCTGTTCACTTTTCTGGGTGTGTTGTGGGGGGACGTGTTTGTCACCGTACCTCTGCTCGCTGCAGTGCTGCTCTTACGCCCAACGTCTGAAGCGTTCTGTTAGGAGCACTCTCCGGAGCACTCCGCATCAGAGCCTGTGTCCAAGAACAGAGCAGGGATGAAAGGAAGAGACTTCAAATGAGAACTCTTTCATGTGTCCATTTGAAAGTGCAGGGACATTAAAACAGGATTTCTAAAGACTAATGAAGTCAAACAGAGTTTGATCACAGATAACTCTTCATTATCATTCATTACATTCCATGTCTGCCATTAGAAAGTGTCTTGTGTGTGTGCGTGTGTGTGTGTTGTTTTTGTACCTGTAGCCGTTGCAGCACAGCGTGATGGAGTCCACACACAGCTGTCAGTGATGAGCTGTCAACCTGAACTTCTACGGCACTCACAGACTCCAGTTTGTCTCCAACACCAATCTGGAGAAGACAGGACATCAGCTGTCACTCAACAGACTGTGGGATTAACACCAATCCGGTCAAAGACCGTTGATTCTGTTCTGACTGTTAAGAACATGTAGATTCTTAACAGTTCCAAAATACTTTTTGGTTGATGTGTCTCAAATGTCAAACATACAGTTTTGATTCTTACCACATCATTTCATGTAGGAAAACAGATTCCAGAACATATTATAATTCAGAATGAAAGTAATTTATTTTTTGTATGGTGGTTAATCGGATTCCTCTGTTCTACCTCTGTTGCGGTCAGTCTGACTCTTTCTCCATTTGGACCTTGAGCCTGGACCACTGAGCTGCTCCGGTCCATTTTGTCTCCCACATGTCCTGTCTTTCCTCCTGCAGGACCATCAGACATCAGCCAGTTTATAAGAGACAGACAAAGGTTCAACGATGGACCCTGATGATCCAAACTGGATCCCAATGTGTCCTTCAACAGCTGTGATGACACACGTATCCTGGCTGAAAACTGCTCACGCTCGCTCTTTGAAGGATCATCACCTCCTGCCTCCAATTGGCCAAAACCTTTAGTCCTAAGAGAGCCCAGAAAGGCTCGGATAGTGTTGGTGGAGTTGTTCAGAGAGTGGAACGTAGAGTTTCTATGGACTTGATGTGTGTCCACCTGTAGCACATGTAACCAGTCCACTGTGAGTCCATTCAGAGGCAAACTGAAACAGGTGTTCTGCAGAGAAGGAACTTTCACCATGTCGTCCTCCTCCAGGAGACTGGAGAGTAAGAAGATGAGCGAACAGCTAATCTGCACAGGAAATGATGAATCACCTGCATCTGCTAAAGGCAGCGACACATCGAAGGTTCCTCCAGGACGGAGGTTGTGAAATGAGAAAGAGTAATTTCTTGTGGATTGTTCTCCACTCACGCTGGGAGAATGTGACAGAGGAGAAACTGTGAGGCTCAGTGACCAGCCTTTCTCCAGAGAATAAGGACTCAGGTTTTCCAGGACACACGTCAGGATCACAAAGTCTTTCTGGAGAAGTCTGGTCCACCTGGTTTCGGCACGGCATCTGATTTGCTTGGAAAGCTGACCATCACCACTTGCTCTCTCTCTCAGCCGGAATCAGCACCTGATTCAGGTACTGCAGAATTTTGTTTTTGGATTTGATGGCCCCTTTTAATGCAGATACTCTGAAAGATAAGAACAGTTTCACCAGATCAGCTGAGAGATGGCTGAGACGATAAATACTTGATATTTCTTGGTGTGCATACCTGTCGTAAACATCTCCAATAGAAGACAGGAGATCCCTGACACTGTGGCCCACCTGCGGCGAAGGTACACTGGATGTTTCTGCGTCTTTATTCCTCACAGGTAAGGTGATTTTGAGCAGCTGCCCTCTAGTGGATAAGCCCAACAGCTCAACTACTCCTGTTAGTGAAAGTGTGTTTACAGTTATACAAAAATGATTGTTGATATAGTTGGGACACAGAAAGAGAAGAAGCAGCAAAAAAATATTTGTAGTTAAAAATTGTAATAATTAGCAAATAATCCAGAGAATATTGACATTTGAGATGCTATAATCCTCACAAAAAGTTGTCCTCAAAATTTGGTTTGTTACATATTTCGAGAAATCTGTTTAAAGTCAGCGTTGTTCACTTAAATAATTATTTGTTCTAATTTTTAATTCAATCTTTTGTATAATTTTCTGTTATTTTATGCATAAAATGTGTTGAAAAAAAATCATCATTTCTTATTATGATGTTTCATTGTAATTAAATCTCACTTGTTTTATAAATTTAAGATTATGCTGTTTGTCTGAAATTTGTTTGACTCAAATCAACCACACATTCACATGTCACCTCTCTGACCTGCAGTGTTGTCCACAGCTGCCGCCAATGTCGTGATTCTGCAGACATTGAGACTGATGGGAGTGTGGAGCACAGCAGCAGGATCTGCTGACCTCCGCCATGTCTCATCAGCTCTTTCCTGTTCTCCTCTCACTGTTGATCCCTGACTCAGTTCCAGCACCATCAGATCTGAACCAGTGCTGTAGTAAAGATGCTGTTTGTCCACAAACCCACACACCACAGGTGCAGCCACACACCGCTCCACAAACCCAACAGTTCTGTCTCCACCCTCTGATTCTCCTTTATCAGTCTTCATCACCAAGATTCTACCTTCTCCACCCACTGCCACCAAACACTGTGCATGTCCTGCCGAAGCTTCTGTGAAATCAGATGCTCCGATGAAAACAACAGGTTGCTGCAGGCTGTGCAGGATCCGGAGTCGTGATACCGGAAGATGCAGAGGAAAAAAACACAGACGTCCATCTGGAAGGCCACAGAGGATAACAGGTGATTTAGCTAATGCAGTGTCAATCCCAAAGAGGAGTTTAAAGAGGACAGACTCAATCAGGAAATGGCCATGTGACAGAGTCTCCACTGAGGAAGATGTGGACGAAGAAAGGAGACAAATCAGCACTGGTCTCCTTCTCAGTCTTGTGTTCATCTCTGTGTCTCTGAGCACAGCAGCTGACACCATTGGCAAAGTAAGTGAGCCAGTCCTTTCAAACCGGCTGGAGTAGGCTTCTCTGGTAGATTTGTAGAGACTCCAAATCCAAGATTCATCTCTACAGGAAAGGACCAGGAGGACGGACTTGACAAGGAGCAGTGATAGCACTCCTTCCTCTTCAACAGTGAGGAATTCTGAGGTGATCTGTAACACATCTGGATCAGAAGACTCTTCAGCTCTGCCTCTCTGTGTCCTGTAAGAGTAACAAAGTCCCAATAAAAATGAGATAGGGACAGATAGATTAAATCCAAGGATGTGTTTCTGGATTTACAAACCTGGATATTAGGAATGATCGACTGAAACAGAAAACACCACTGTTGCACGACACGTAAAGAAACTCTTGGTCAGGAGTCAGAACCAGGTCAGTGACTGGAGCAGGAAACTGGAGGACAGTCTGTAAATGAATAATATTTTATTTAAAATGCAAGATAAGATAATAACATGTATATTTATAACAATCCATTTCTACAAGAAAACATTTGTGATTACATTACACGCATCTAAATGTGCATTATAACAGTAAGTACTACTTAACTAGTCATTATAATTATACTGTTACATTTATTTAATGTGCAAAAAGATAAAGTGAAATATTCCATGTGTACGTTGAAGACTGACGTTGATAGGAATGTGCCTCTTCCAAAGAAAAGTGACTTACTGTGACTTTTTTCTCTTTTATACTGAACACACACACTTCATCAGTGCCTGTCAGGAGGAAAACATCTGAGCCAAAACCGTGAGTTATTTTCGACCAAGTGCCTAAAAATCCAAACTCTGTCCAAGTTTCCACACAGCAGCGACCTTCCATAATTCCACCACCGAAGAAGTAAGCGAACGTAATATATGGTATATTATTATGTTGTCATTCCGTTTTAAATCTAACGACGAAGTAAAGTCGGTTAGAAGTGCGTGTTAAAATGTCAACATCATGTACGGGGTTGACAAAAAGACAGGAAGCTCATACTACGCGCGTTGAGTTTGGGCTCAATATCAGGGAAGAACTACACTACCTATTAGCACCGGCGACTGCGCCAGGACAGAGGATACACTTTTATCACAAATAAGTACTGCTACAAAATACAATTTATGACAGTTGTAAAAAAACTGCTACAAAATACAATTTATGACAGTTTTATTTATTCTAAATTTGTTTTTAAATATCATAATTTAATATATGTATTTTGCTCGCAGTTTCTATAACCTTTAATGCCAAGTTATTTGGTGGATTTCCGGTGATTTCATGTCGTCACTTACCCTGAAAGCAACGCCATCTGACTCCTTTCGTCCAATTGAAATCATCGTAACGAAAACAGCCCGGAATTTGAATTTCACCACTTTCTACCGTTCTCTGTCGGAGAGAAACTCTATAACGCTGAAGTAATGGATGCTCTCACAGAAGAAGGAACTAAAATGTATTTTTATGAAAACAGACTGAAAACGTTTGAAGGATGGCCCTTTGATGAGGACTGCACGTGTACCCCGGAAAATGTGAGGAAACTTAGTGAAAACGTTTGAACGTAAGCGCTTTTAGCATAGCAATAGCTAGCAAAACATTAACAGTTAGCCACGACATCGACTGCCCTTGGTATAAATTCCCCGCCAAGATTACTAGATTATAATTAATCCTAGTTGAAGATGTTTTTGTATTTATTTTTCTTTCGGGAACAATGTTGTCATAAAGGTGGTGCGAAAGAAAGGACGGTGTAAGGCAATAGCCCTGTAGTTGAACAGGAAGTATCGACGCATGTGTAATGTTGTATTGAAAGTGTAGTTTTGGTCACCAGCTTCATTAAACTACAAATGAAAATCCACAAGCTCTGCGTTTCCCTGCTATGTATGCCTCTACATCCTGTGAACTGACACTTTAAATTCCAAAAAAGCCGTTTATGAGCATTGTTGTTTAATTGAACATTGATGATGTTACTGCCTTAATCAATCGCTATTTTTACTTTACTTAAAATTATTTTTTGTTAATATGAACCTGTGCTAAAACGAAAACAATTCACCAACAATTACGGCTTAAAATGGTCAGGACAAAGTTCCATTGCTTCTTTCAAAGATGTTCTAATTATATCAGTGTCTATTTATGATCAATGGATAAAAATGAACAGACATAAGAAATGTATTTGTGAAAATGTAATGTGTTTACAGTTGTACAGAAACAAATCCAGTATTTTACACCAAATGTTTTTTTAAGGATTGTTTTAAAATGTTTGGTGGCTTTGGATTTTATACTTTCTTTTCATTCAATTAACAGATTATCATAGGCAGCTGAGAAAAAGGCATATTTTTATGAAATGTTTGTTACCTGCAGATGGCCAAGGCTGGTTTCATTCACACTCCTTCAGACAACTGCCCAGACATCGCCATGTGTTTCTTCTGCCTCAAGGAGCTTGAAGGATGGGAGCCAGATGATGATCCAGAGTAAGAACAAAACTGTTACTCTTCTTTATTTTGGTCTAGCCTTAAAAAAATCTTGTACTATATAATAATTAATTAAAGTTAACACATATTTATCTTTATTGTCACTGTGTAGGAGTTGTGATTGTGCCGTACCAAATAATTTACACAAGCCAAAAATTCTTGACATTTTCGTCCTTTTGACATTACCTGTATTGATGGTTCTACTCTGGATTATAGAGTTATAATTAGCAAGACGTTCCTTCTATGTGGGCCACATATTCTTCGGTATGCTTGTAGCCACTTCACACTGTTGGACTTACTGTGAAATTCTGACTGATGTTACATTTGCCATTTATCATTCCCACAAAAGAGCTAGTGTTTGTGTGAATGTTAAGCAGAACTGTTCTGTGAAAATACTGCACAGATATTAAGTCAAGAGATTAAATTGGTGCTGTCATAAATGTTTGCCTTTTGTTTTTTATTTGTGTGCAATTAAATAATATATATTATTTTATTAGAAAGGAGCATAAATCCCACTCACCATCCTGCCACTTCATTTCCCTGAAGAAGACAGTGGAGGAGCTGACTGTGGAGGAGTTCTTTAAACTGCAGAAGGAGAGACACAAGTTTGTTATTGTAGGTGACTCTCTGAAGCATCACACTTGTTTCCCCACAGTTTATACATCTTTAGATACTGACAGAGACAAAATCTCTTTATAACATTAACATTATTTTTCCTCTACTTGCAGAAAAAAAAATGCAACGATGCCATCACCTTGTATGAGGAAGCAGCCAAACTAAAAAGAGCAGATATTGTAAAAACAGCCATGGGAGAAGAGTAACAAATAGACAGGGAGAGAGAGATAAGTGAGCTGTTTCCTTTTGAAACGTTCTGTCATCTTTTAATGTCTAATTTGTGGGTGTTTGTCACTTTAAATGTCTGTTATTCATTAAACTTGTTTATTTTTTACATCCAGAGTCTTCAGGTCAATCATTTCCAGTCAGTCAAGATTAAAGTTGCAAAATTAATCAAATTTTAATCATTTTGTCCGCTACGCTCTTATGGTGATGATCGTCGCGATATTAATATTTAAGAAGTGGGATCTGCTGCATATGAAGTCAAGCACGTTCTCAACCAATCGTCAGACAGCCACCAGGGGGCAAACGAAACTGCCTAATTAGGAAGTGAGCAGCATCCGGTGGCATCAAAGTCACTAATGTGAGTAATGTGTTTCAGATGGAATGATGCTGATCAAATATATTACATGTAAAGAGTGCCGTAGATTTGTGTCTGCGCCACGGGGCAACACAAATGTATACAGTAGCAAATGGCATATTTTTAAAGTTTTATTTGGAACTGGACGCCTTAACATACTGTTAGTATAAAATAGGAAATATAACAACATGTTGTATCTGACGTAAATAGTCTTGATTTCAATATTGATAAAAAAATAATAATTGTGATAATCATTTCGTTCATAATCGTGTAGCCCTAATCAAGACATTAGAGACTGTCAACGATTTTCATGTTTTCAGTTACAAGTATAAAGTCATTTTTTTAAAAGGACCAGAAACAACAAATTTTGTCGTCTCGTGTGTTTACTATTGGATCTCAAGTGTCTCTGTTAAGATGTTGTAAATAAATGTATTCAATCTTTACAATATATTCATTATGTTAAGTTTCCATATCAATTTATACAGTTATTGAATGCTGTTATTGTGCTGTACTAAAAGGGAAAGTGCTAAAGACAGGTGTGCATGCTGATAGTTTACATAACAGGATGATATGGACAGCACTGAATGGTACCGACTGTTACACTTGGAGATAGAGATAGGACACAGAACCGGTCAGAACTGGTATCTTTGCCCAAATAAGGAGACCGACGGAAGACCAACAAAAGACAAAGAGAAAAACATCCGAACTGCATGGTCTTATCTGATTTGATTAACTACAGCATTTCCACATAGCTCCTATTGATGGAGAATCCTCGTTTGGAGCAGTCTTTACCAATCAGTGCTCAGAAGTTGCGAGAGAACACCACATGGCTGTAAAGGGTTAAGGTACTGACCATTGAAGTTTGTGTGTGTAAAAAAACTGTATCTAAGCTTTGAACACTGAGGAGTTCCTCAGTGCAGTTCTGAATGTAACCATTGTTCTGCACTCCTTGCTGCAAGAAAACTTTTAAAATTTGAGATCTCATATTTGATTCTTTATTTGATCAGATCTTTATTTGAAATTCTTTGTGTGTAAGGAAACTGGGGTATGAACTAACAGCATTTTTTACAGTCCTAACTAATAGAAAAAGTTTCCTGACACTTTCAATAAGTAAACAGATTCAAAGATCCGAATGTATTTCTGTTTCATATATCAGTCATACTGAAATGAATTGATTATACATATATTAGCTGAGAAGTCTCAATTACTGGTTGAAGTCAGTGATGGTTTAATGCGTAATTTGTGTTTGTTGACGTCGCTGACTTGGATTTACAGCGAACCTAAAATACACGGGTCTGTACCAGCAGTCAGACAAAATGATTTGAACCAGATCTGTGTCCGAAGGTCATTTTTAAACCACTTCATTTCCATTTCCATGCTGGATCCAGTGGTGATTTCTTTCTACTCCGCTGCGTAAAACGTGCGCGTCGCTCCACCTTCACCTCCAGACCCTCCCTGTCAGATGCTGCTGCTGCTCATTTTCTTCGCTCTGCTTCTGTCGGACGTCAGGAGGAACCTAGTGGAAAACATCAGCCGTTGTTCTTGGCGCGCACACACACACACACACACACATTCTCCCTCTGCCTGTGATGAATGAGTTGTTGAAGAACCTCTGTTCTGTGGATGTGAGCCTCCGTCAGTCCAGGATGAGGATGAAGATCACCTTTGGATCTCTGGTGATCGCTGCAGGGATCTGTGGGATCCTCAGCTTCGCTCTTTTGGCCACTTCGTTAGGAACAGACTACTGGTTCATCATCGAGATGAGGAACCCGAACACAAGCGGCGGCAGCTTGGACTTCGAGGACATGAGTTCCCGCTCAGGACTGTTGAGCATCAACGAAGGTGCAGCGGCGTCTCTGTGTTTACCCCCTGTTTCAACGTTTCTGTGAAATGTCATTGTTTTTTAGCCAAACTTTTCTCTGTGCTTTCCGGACCTGCAGGTGGGAAAATATACGGCATCTCTCTGGACTTCTTCAGAGCTGACGTCTCCAAATACTCTGACACCGAGCTGCAGCTGCTGAGTGAGTTTTGACCACATCACTTCACAAGTCTCACCCTGTATACAACTAGTGCATACGGTTATAAAACAACAAGGGGGTTTCGAGACATTGTGGGGGTCCACTGGATCAAGGGGCCGAGATTAAACATGTAGAACAGGGGCCGTGTTTAAGAAACATTCAGGGACCTGTCTAATTCATTTAATTTGATTTAATTTGCCTATTGTGTCCCTAACATAAATGGTAATTGTCCTACATCCTTTTACATCATCTACTTTGGTCAGTTTACACATGGTCTATGTTAGACCCTGGTCCAGGTCTTCCTCTTCAAGAACTATGGCTGATAAGACTGGTGTTTATCTTTAAGTGTAACTTTCTCTTTGGTAAAACCTTGGTAAAATATGATAATATTGCATTGATTGTCTGAATTGTGTGTTCTCTGTGTAGACATGCACCGGGCCGTGGTGGTGCTGTTGCCCCTCAGTCTGGTCCTGATCCTCTTCGGTGGTATCGCTGGGTTGGTGAGTTCTCTGGCTCGCAGCCCAGTGCTCCTCACCTGCACTGCCTCCTACTTTTTCATCTGCAGTGAGTTCAGCTTCACTTCCTGTCTCTGCTCTCTGTCCATCTGTCTGTCTGTCCATCCACAGCTGTGGTAGAAGTCACTCCAGCTGTGAGGTCACAAGTCATTAGAGCTGCTATTTAAAAAAAATAAAAATTGTCTCTGAAATTCATTTTGCAAATATAAAATATTTTTAATTTATTATTATTATTGTTATTGTCTAATCTGACCTAAACTAATTTAATCAGTTCTGATACAATCTGTTCTCCAATCCTATAAAATGATATTAAAACTGTGTAATAATAATATAATAATAATATAAACCTAAAGGTTTATAATAATGTATTTTTAGGTTTATAATAATATAAAGCTAAAGAAAGACTTATTTTTTGGGCTAACTTTGTTTTTGTGAATTTAGCAAGTGTTTAGCCACTTTGACTAGCTGCATTTATTTTGGTAATAACTCAAGTTGTTTTAGTTTTTTTGTTTCTAAATCTTACTTAATTTTAAACACATGGCCGTTTAGGTTTCAATTAAAAGCTTCCCATTTCTGTAGCCTTTTCCCAGGAGCCTTTGCTAATTGTTGTCCTAGGAGTCACATCCATACATATCAGGCTGCTCTAATTATAACTGCAGTCTTTCAGGAGCTGCTAACACCCAGAGTGTATTTCATTAGAACCATAACAGCACATAGGTTTACTAATGGGAAGGAAGTGGTGAACAGCCAAGAGCTGTTAGTCTGAGGGAGGTGAGAGTGAGCAGAAGGAGGTGAAGGTTTCTCCTCAGTGGTTCTTATTATTGACCTCATGGGGTCACTGAGGTCAGCGGGGGCACTAAAGTTTATTAATATCATTATCACCTGAGTCTACTTTGACCACGTTGTGTGTGTATGTACTGCATGTGTGTGTGTGTGTGTGTGTCAGATGGGTTGTTAGAGCTTTTACGGCTCTGTGAGGAGAAACCGCATTGAAGGAAAATTGCTTCTGAAAACAATTCCACCTAAAATCTTTTTTTCTCTGTGATGATCTGCTTTCATTTGTAAGTCATTTTATATTTACATGGGTTATTCAGTGTTGGGTCAAAGATGTTAAAGTGTCTGGAAATGGAACAGAGAAAGATTTGAATGAATTTTATGGACTTTTGATGAACATATATTTTTTTATTTCACCATGAGGCAGTCCAGTCCAGTCCAGTCCAGTCCAATCCAGTCCAGTCCAGTACAGTTCAGTTCTGTCCAGTACAGTACAGTACAGCAGCTTTTTATTCATCTCCACTCCTTTCTTCTCTTCTCCTCTCCCCTCTCCTCCTGTTTTTAGTTAATTTTCTAATTTCTATTCTGTCTTATCTTTGTAATTGTACTTCATGTTACATTTTATTTTAATGACATTTCCTCTAACCAGGTTCACACCTTCATGTGTTAACTTTGCAGTAATGAAGTTATTGATAAACAAAAGAATCTGAGCTTCTCCTCCTCCTCCTCCTTCTTCGTCTTCTCTGACGTCCTCTTCATGAAGTAACTCTTTGTGTCACATCAACCTCTTTAATAAGCAGCACATGTCCTATGTGTCAAACTTGAGCAGAGGTTATTGAATTAATTAATTAAGTCTAAACTCAAAGTCTTGTGAACTTGTTAAGTGGAAGGGTTTAAACAAATTCCACTCTTCAGTCCAGGCCGTCAAGTCACCAGTTGTTCACATTTGCTGTCTTTTATTTTCACCAGAATCCATCAGGAATCAGCAGGATTTTTTTTCAGTCATTTTCATTTTTTTCCATTCATTTTAACATCATCTTAATAATGTAACCTCTTCAACCACCAAGTCTTATATATTTTAACAATATTTTTAATTTATTATATTAAATCATTCAAATATTAGAGATACATTCTAATACACTTTAGCAATATTTTAATATTGTTAATCAACCGTGTGAATCAGTCAAGATCCTGAGCTGATAAAATATAAACCTGGTATTCTGATCAAATAGTAACAGAGATGAGAAAATGCCCAAACAACACAGTGATGTTAATGTCTTTGTTACAGAAGGTAGAAAATAATCTAACACGGCCGTTTGAAACAGACTTCACTCTTGTACTGTTTGCACAGTTTTTCTGGTCA